ACATTTATCCATGTTGCAAGTTAAATAATTAAATTAAATGATTTAAAAAAAAAACTTCTTTTACTTGCCAAATTTATTTATTAATTCAATCAGAAACTAATTTCAGGTTTCAACCCCATCATCAGTCTGAAACTATAAATAGATGAAAATAGACAAAAACATACACGTTAAAATATTAAATAAATGTTAAAAATGTTAAAAAACTTACAGGCAATGAAACTATATAAAATACATAATATTGATGTAAAAATATACATGTCACAAAATGAAAAAACTTAAATTAGACATATAACATTCGAAAATTTTATAAAATAAATTCCAAGGACATTATCGGCGAAGAGAAATTGCAAGACTAAGGACTGATATAGAAGAAACACCCCTTCTTTAAAACAAGTTCAACGAGTGCACAATGGGAACAGAAACCAAAAAATTCGTCATTTCAGATGTTTCAAATACATAAACAAAGGTTTATATTGAATTTCAACTTGATCATTAAGTAAAATGTTATCGTTGTAAATTTTATGTTTATTAATCTCTAGGGTTTCTAATAAAACATTAGAACATTAGAATCAGATTTAGGTTTGTGTTCATTGATACGTGTTTCTAGTTTTCTGCCAGTTTGGCCAATATAAACACCTTTACATTCAGAACACTTAATAGAATACACACCATTTTCTTTCATTTTACTATTAATCCTGTAATTAGAAAAGATATTAAGTATGTTGTTCCTATTGGAAAAAGCTAAAGAAATGTTGTATTTAGAAAAGATGAATTTGGAACGATAGGTAATATTATTAAAGTCAATAGGTTTATAAATGTTGAGTTCTTTTTCGGGTTTCGAATATAAAGGATCGGTCTGAATATATATTTTATTAAAAAGATTGTTAGTAATTTTCAAAGGAAATTTGTTTTGTTTGGCTAAATTTTATATGAAATTCATTTCTTTAATTTTATTTTCCTTGAATAGAGAATATTTTATTGTACGGATAAGTAAAAATCTGAAATTTGCCAATTTATGGTTAAGGGGATGAACCGATTCATAAGGTATAGTTGTAGGAATTGTAGAGGGTTTCCTATATATATCATAACATATTTTGCCGTCATTTGAATGTGTTAAGGTTAAATCTAGAAAGTTAAGAGTTTTATTATTATTTTCTATTTCTACAGTGAATTGCAAATTTGTATGTAAGTTATTTAAATATTCTAAAAATTCAAAGAGTAATGTTCTATCTCCCTCCCAGACACAAAACACATCATCGACATACCTAATCAAGCTGTGGATATTTTCTTTGAAAGGGTTATTATCGTTAATAATATCATTATTCTCAATGTAGTCCAGAAAAACATATAAAAAAAATAAAAAAGATATATAGTCAAATGGTTAAGACATGTTAATGACATTTCCTGTGTTTGGCAAGGAGATCTAGCCATGCTAAAACATTTCACGACAATTTAAAGTTTACTATGGAATTAGGAAAAGATAACATTTTGAACTTTTTAGATTTCGCTATAACTTATCCCATTCGATCAAATCATCCCTTTTCGAATAAAATGGCAAGCTTTAGATTTTTTATCAATAGACTCTTTAGTAATCCTCTTTCCACAGCAAATCAAAATAAAGAAATGAATTTCATGTTTGTATTGGCTAAATTCAATGTTTATCCGACAAGAACCACCAACAATCTACAAATAATAAAATTTACAAATCACTTCCTTTCAGTCACATCACTTTTTCACTTAAAAAAAAATTCTTTTTAGAGTATAATGTAAACTTAACCTTTTCCAATAATAACACCATTTTGAATCTGTTATCTAATTATCATTTCAACAAATACAACATACTTAAAGAATATGGGATTTATGCTATCAATTGTTGTAATTGTAATAGCATATATGTGGGACAAACAGGCCGAAAACTCGAAAACAAAATAAACAACACAAAACAAATGCAATTCCAATGTATATAAAGATATGGTACAAACTGAACACAAAATAGATTATAAAAATATAAAACTTATTCATAAATGTGATAAAGGATTCCGTTTAGATCTTTTAGAAGCATTAGAAATTGCAAAACACAATAAAAATAAAAACTATATCATGTTAAATGATCAACTGGATACAAAATTTACACCATTTTTCAATGTCTAAAAACCATTTAGTTTAATCCTTGTTTTTGAATGTAGTTTGTGTTATCTTTTTACAGTTTAATATATTTTATTTTAAAGTGTAACTTTATATCTAAAGTATTCTTCATATGTTTATTCTTTGTGATGACAATTGTACTATAAACAGTTTCTATTGACCGTAAGTTCTAAAGAATTTTTAACTATTAAAAGTAATTAACATATAATTGTAGATTCGGCTGAAGATGACTAGATATAACTAGTCGAAACCGGTCCTGTTATAATTAAGAAATTAATTGATATCCATGTTGCAAGAAGACTTCTCTATCAACAGTCATTGAATATACATCACTGTGTACTAATACTAACACTTATCAAACAAAACCAAACTTGTTACCGTAAAATAAATAATGAGGAATAAGAGAAAGCATTTAAAGTTCTTTTAAAGAAAATACATACTGTATAAAGTTTTAGAACGCGACAAAAAAGGAAATCGATGAGTAATAGACTAAACTATTAAACAGTAATTTGCAGATCATATAAATGATATCCTACGTGTACAATGATATTACTTACGCGGCAAGATAATTAAACTTAACATTAGTCTAAAGCTTCAACATAAGACACAAACTGCTACTTTAAAAAAGCACTAAGAACTAGCAAAACGTAAACAAAGGGGGAACTTGAACAAAGAATGAGCCGATAGCGTGTGGCGCAAAGCCTATCATTATACATTGTTAAATTGTAAGTTGTAAAACTGTAAAGAATTGAATTATGAAACGAAAAACTTAAGAAATGTTTATTCTAACGTGAAGCCAAGTAATTATAATTTGTGGTTTCTTCCTAATACTTTAAATGACGTTATTATTGCGTTACAATGTAGTATATGGAAGCGATGAATATTCCAGAATAAATGGGTTAAGGGTTGACGATATAAGCGGTGGATCGTAAAATAATCGTTACACCCACTATAATTAGGTTGGTGCGGTATCGCTATACACGTAGTGATGTCGTATCCACTAATTTTCAAACCTTTACTTGAAGGTGCCGATATAAATTTTCCTACATGCCATGCCGTACTTGTTCGCCCCGCTGGCGCTGTGTCCAATCTTATTACTTATGCAAGTGTGAGGTTGGCTTTGCAACGTTGTAGTCTTCGTATACACTTGATTAGGATGCAAGTTACAAAATCCTATAAAATTTTAAGTCGTTGTTTGTTATCGGCACAATTATCAACGATACACGTTTGAATATTAATATAATTGAAACATAGCACGGTGGAGGTGTATAGGTTCATTTGGAGAGAAGGTTTCTGCAAATTAGTTAACTTCGGCAATATTATTTTAAGCAATTAATTTCGTTTTACGTTGGGCGTGCCGGATCCCGGTTGACCAGTAAAGCTAGAAACTCTTGCGATTAAATATAATTGTTACATAACAATAGTAAACCGCGTGAACGCTCTGGGATATTATGGAGTTATGCCTCGACTTGCTCTCACGGCTTTATTGCCATACAATTACAACGATTGTACACTTGGCAAAACAAGTTTTGTCGTAAATTTCGACTAAACAATATTGTACGAGACCCTACTACCACTAGACATAAATTGCAACTAAACTACATCGAAAGGAAATCGAGTTTTGATTAATACTTAATATATCCCAACGGAGAACATTCAGAGATTTTAAAGTCCAGCTTTGCTTCCGCAGTAAAGGTGTTAGACGCAGCTGTTCCACACCGGGTAAAAGTTACTGGAGTTGCGGAGGTTTTTTCGAAACCAAAACTGCATTAGGGTAATAGAATTTGAGTTGCATAAAATCTCGGTTCGTATTTTCACGTAGAAAATTTTAAGTTCCACATTTTAGTAGAAAATCAATATTGAATGATTTCAATGTGAATATATCAAAGGAATGGTACGATAGGGTACTGAAATAAATTTCTTATTTTACCGAAAAGAATAGTCAGGTTATGGAATCCATAATTAATTTCTTGACTACATATACAGCCTGTCGACACATAATCGAAGTCAATTTACTTTCAATTCAACGGTACACTGACCTGTCCAAAGGCGTGATACACGACCAACGGTCATAAATTACTAAAGCAGGAAGCTATTCCCAATTTTCTAACCCGAACGATATGTCCTGAAACTGAGACCTAAATTCTCCTCGACGTTACACATAATAATTTATAGCCGCACCTATGACATCGAGAATGTTTATTTCGACGACGATAAAATTAATTTTTCAATTCAATACAAAGTTTACATACCGGAGACAAATAAGTTTTGTTAAAGAATAAGGGTAGGGTAAGTTATAGTAAAAATAAGGGTGTATATAGTATCGAACAGAACGTAATCTAAGGCAATTTATTTCAATATGGTGCCGCCTATCGCTATAGCCACATGATATATACCATCCAACAATAAATTATCAAACCAGAAACTATCCAAGAGTTGGGGCGAGTCGAAGGCGCTTCTGCAGTTTAGTACCCTAAATATTTCAATATGCCGCTTTTAACATAATTTATGTGGTGTTTTCGAGACCGCCAGTTCCCCGTAAACACGACACAAACTTGAGCTTCCGTCAAACTCTAAACCTTTCGTTAGAGACATAATGATGCACAAAATAGCCTTAACGATAATGGATTTAAAAAAGAAACTTGTTAAAGAAAAAAACTTTAGTACCAATTTATTTTCTAGGTCGAAAAAACGACAACTTTATGCTACCATGTAAATAAAATATCATCCGACATATAAAGTTTGTTACCTTTCAATAAACTTTTTACGGGTTTTCGTGCAATTCGAGACGAAACTCTAAAAACTTAAACTAGAAACAAAATCCAAAAAAGAAGAAATAGTGAAAATGCACTAACCTCGAACGCCCCAACTTTTAGAGAAGAATGAAATTCCTCCGGATCCGTTACATGTCTTCCATGGACGATGTTCGCACCTTGGTCGTCAACGACACTAAAGTTTCACACATATCACGTTTCCCCATGTGCCCACCGCACCCGATAACTCACGCTCTTTTACGTCTCACGGAGCGCAACAGCATCTCGAGTGCGGCGTCGCGACGCGGCTTACATAGAACTAACGCTTTCCGATTACGAAGCGTTCCGCGGCCGTCTCAGCGGTTCACTGAAAAGTGGCGCTTGATGCGAGTGGCGCGCAGCCCACCAATTGAAACGGCACGGATGCGCGGAAACCTTCTATATATAATCTTAATTAATCCCCTATAAATTTACCTATATGTAATGAAAAAAATGGGGGTTAATATGACGTGGCGGTCAAATAAATCACGATGAATTTATGAATAAATATCAAATAATATTGGTCAAATCGAAATGTTTGTTATCACAATTATTAAAATAAAACAAAGGGTAGCAAACATTTATAGTAACAAAATGAAAAATTGTAATCTGTACAGGGTGTCCCAATTTCGATGTCCGCATAGGCCATCTCCGAAACTAAAAGAGATAGAAAAAAAGTAGCTTACATGTCATGATCTCGTTTTTCGAGAAAATGCCGAAAACTTCGAACAGCTATCGTCTTTTGTTTTCGCCCTATCGGCAAAAACTGAAAATTTTGCAAAAACGACAATCGCGAATATCTCACTTATTATCAAAGATGGACCCGTGCGACGATAGCAACAAACCTCCCAGCAACAAACTTTTACCCGTAATTTCCTATCTACTTTCTTAGCTGATATCTTCCTTATTATTAGAGATAGCGAAAAACTAAACGCATCACATGAAAGCTTGAATCTTTCTCTATCTAAAACCGGGTTTTGGTCTGCCGATAAGTTGATAGTAAGATCAATAAAAAATGAAGAACACCGCGCTGTCCTTAAAATAGCTCAAAATTACCAAACTTCAAGGCCTTGTGCAATTGTTATGAAACCGAATTTTAAAAAACTGTTATCACAGTCAGAAAGGGCGCTCCTTCAGCTATCTTAATCCGGGTTTTCGTCTGTCGATATCTATCGCCGTCATGCTTAAATCACCCTTAATGTCCATCCCTACACGCAGAAACGCTTAAATAATCTTCCTCTAAACAACTTTCTTATTTGATAGGGAGAAAACTCTAGAACCATATCTTTCTTATCGAAAATTTCCTGCTCTTTCTAGTGGTGTATAACACGCGGCGATCACGTGCTTGCACACGTACATTTTTGGCCAAAAACTGCTAAATGTATACGTTTTAGCAATTTTTAAACCTTGTTCGGGTCGATAACTTTCTTATATGACCAGGAGAAAACTCTAGAACCATATCTATCTTATCGAAAATTTCCTGCTCTTTCTAGTGATGTATAATACGCGGCGATCACGTGCTTGCACACGTACATTTTTGGCCAAAAACTGCTAAATTTATACGTTTTAGCGATTTTTAAACCTTGTTCGGGTTGATAACTTTCTTATATGACCAGGACAAAACTCTAGAACTATATCTATCTTATTGAAAGTTTTCTGCTCTTTCTAATGGTGCTTTTTAATAACTATTATACACTTTAATTTAACAACAATTATTAATAATCGATAGCTTACATAATCTTTGAAAATTTTTTTTAAAGTTATACAGGAAAAGTTTATTTTTTTAAATGGCAACTCCACTTTTTTCCCTCACCACCGTATTATATGCTGAAAAATCAGGAGACTTTGTGATTACATCCCATACTAGTAGAGTTACTAGTAGACATAGTAGTAGACTTTAAATTTTTTCCACTATTTTTAAACGAGTTATGACGTCATTCATATTTTTTTTAAATTACAATCCCATTTTTATTACGGAATATGAAAGAGGATTTTTTTTGAATTTAGTACAGTAGTAGTTTAGTAATTTAGAAGGGTAGGTTGAAAGTACAAATAGGGTCAAAACATACCCTATTCTAACTTAAACATATTCCCCAAATTTCATTTTGATAGCGTCTATGGTTTTTGAGAAAAAAAAAATTACACTAAACTTTTCCGCCATTTTTGGAGGGGTGTAGCTCCTTAAGGGAGTCGAAGTGGTTCATATATCAAAGTGCCCTTAAAATTCACTAAAGAATCACCCCTTGAAGTTTGTTGCAGTCATTCAGATACACCCTGTATAAATTTTAAGTAATTAAACTTTAAAGTAATTTTTCTCGAAAATTTTCTTATGTAACCAACATTAATATTGAATGTACTAGATTCAGAAAAAAGTCTTCTTTCGTATTCCGTAATAAAAATGGGGGATTGCCATTTGAAAAAAACATCGATTGCGTCATAACTCGTTAAATCGTTTAACGGGTACATTATTTTTTCGTTTTTAGAAACGATTTAGTTATGGTAATGCAACTATTTGACCTTATTGACAAGTGGTCTCTATAAAAGCCACTAACCGTTAAAGGGTTAAAAATTGGGGAACAAATTTGAAATATACACCAAAAAATTGCACAAAAGTTAAATCTTTAGACCCATTTCAGGGATTTTTCCATAAACCGTTTATAATTATTTTGACTCAGGTCGTCGTGACAGACAAATGGGAGGTAACTAGAAACAGAAAAATCCACAATGTTAGTAGTTTTTGGCCAAAAATGTTCTTGTGCAAACGTGTGATCGCTGCGTGTTATACATCACTAGAAAGAGCAGGAAATTTCCGATAAGATAGATATGGAGTTTTCTCCTGGTCATATAAGAAAGTTATCGACCCAAACAAGGTTCAAAAATCGCTAAAACGTATGAATTTAGCAGTTTTTGGCCAAAAATGGACGTGTGCAAGCAGGAAATTTTCGATAAGATAGGTATGGTTCTAGACTTTTCTCCTGCTCATATAAAAAAGTTATCGACCCGAACAGGGCTTAAGAATGGCTAAAACGTGTGAATTTTGCAGTTTTTGACCAAAAAGTACGTGTGCAAGCACGTGATCACCGCGTATTATACACCACTAGAAAGAGCAGAAAATTTTCGATAGATATGTTTTTATAGTTTTCTCCCTATCAAATAAAAAAGTTGTTTAGAGGAAGAGTATTTAAGCGTTTCTGCCTGTAGGGATGGACATTAAGGGTGATTTAAGCATGACGCCGATAGATATTGACCGACGAAAACCCGGATTAAGATAGCTGAAGGAGCGCCCTTTCTGACTGTGATAACAGTTTTTTAAAATTCGGTTTCATAACAATTGCACAAGGCCTTGAAGTTTAGTAATGTTGAGCTATTTTAAGTACAGCGCCGTGTTTTTCATTTTTTATTGATCTTAATATCAACTTATTGGCAGACGAAACCCAACCCAACCCAACCCAACCCGGTTTTAGGTAGAGAAAGATTCAAGCTTTCATGTAGTGTGTTTAGCTTTTCGCTATCTCTAATAATAAGGAAGATATCAGCTAAGAGAGTAGATAGGAAATTACTGGTAAAAGTTTGTTGCTGGGAGGTTTGTTGCTATCGTCGCACGGGTCAAAGATGGAGTATTATAAATAAAACATTATATGGGCAACTTTTTACGAAGAATTCAGTGGCGTAGGTAGAATTTTTTTCCCATCTTTTATTTTCGAGATTTTAGACGTAATGACTTAAAATAATTTGTTATTTTCTTCTGATAACAAATATATATAGTTTGTGGGGTATATTTCTTATAGTTATTGAATAATTAACAAAAATTCGTTGTAAAAACCAATGTACGCTATTCATTCCTTAAATTAATAGATTAATGTAAATTCCATAAATTTACATTAATCCATGAACGAGTTCATCCTTGTCAACGTAGTTTTTCATCGGATGGATTTTATCGTTATTTTCATTGTTACAACGAAGAAATTCGTTGTATATACGTCACTTTTTCTCTCAGTGTACTTTTACTGTTTTTTTTAATTCAAAATCTTACAAGTAACACTAGGGAAGTGCCATACGTCGATTTTTTTGAAACTTGGCATACAGTAGTGTATGGAAAAATATTCGACACGTATATCGTCATATCCGCCCGATCGCCGTTTTAATTTTATTTTTGTTATTTTTTTCGTTTTATTTTTTCGATTCTTGCGAAAAACTTTAAAAAATGTAAGAAATGAGGATAATTTTAAGGCGAATTTCTAGAAAAACGGTTCATATCAAAAACTACCCCTAACAGTAACGAATCATGGAAACGAATCACTACAAGTAGTGATGTAGATAACAAACAAACCTTTCTTATTGTTTGCACTATCCAGGATGAACGACGTGAACGTGATAGGGTTCTCATTCCATTGGGGTGCTTTTTGAACGTGAGAGGCAAGGGGACTCTCACTAATCGGGGCGCTTTTGATCTATACTTTAAAATTAGTACAGTAATGTGAAGAGTGGTCGTTTGTTACCGCAAAGAAGTGCTGCATGCACATTAATGTCAAACACCAAGCACATTTAATTATTGCAATATCATTGCAGAGTTATTACAGTTTTTGAAACATAAGTCTGCAGGGATTTCGCATTTGTCGGGTTTTTCTACAATATACCCACCAGAGACCTGCATGAATGGTTTCATTCGCCCGAATGAAACATTCACAAAGAAACGAATGGTGAATCAACACTAAGACATCAAGAGAGCGCTGCAATGTATCACACGATTCGCTCAATATGGTGTAGTGTCGTTCTACAACATCAAGCAGTAGGCGTCTATCTCATATGCAACGAAAAACAGCGAATCATTTCAAATGATTCATTGCCTCACCTACTCAATAGTGCTTTTGTACACAATCGTTGTTATTTTACTATCGAACATAAATAAATTAATGTTAAGTTGAATTTAAGACACAATTTAAATTTATACAAAATTATCCAAATTTGGCTAAACTTATACAAAATTGTCTAAAATATTCAAAACGTATTTAAAATTATCAAAATTTCACAAAGTAGTTCAAAATGTTACTAGATGACACTATTTTATGATATTAACAAATCTAGTTACTTTTGTTACAAATTTGTGTGGTTTATTTTATTAATTTAAATCAAAGAATGTCAATCAGTACGCTGTGAAATGTCAATTGGTAGTGACCAATAGTGACTTTATCTAAGTTCCTTAAATTCTCATCGAGAAATTGTTATTAACAAAGAAGTTTTCTTCAAGAAACGAGTGTGTTGTGAATCAATATGGATATGGCGAATGTTGAAATAATTACAAAAATTAATACTGGTGGATTATCATATAACAGCAAAACCAAATAGTGTGAGTAAAATTTGGAATTTATTTGGCCTTATTAAAAAACAAGATGACAGTAATTTATTAAGATAGAAAATATAATAGCAAGCAAACCTCAAACCTCGTTCGTCATAGATGTTATATTGAAAGCAACAATATTGGCGAACGAGAAATAACACATGTAAATAGTGAAGACCAGAGAGTGTACTGCATGCCTGTTCTCAATGGGTTTTTGAAGAATGTCGGCCTTTTTCATCGGTAGATAGCAAGGGCTTCAAAAAAATGGTTCAAAAATTGATCGATATTGGGGAAAAGTATGGTAGTAATATTAACATTGACGAGCTGATTCCGAATTCAACAACAGTATCACGTTATGTAAACGACATGGCAACGGAAAGAAAACAACAAATAACTCGTGATTTGCACCCTATTATTGCCGAAGGAGTATCAATAACTTGTGACCTATGGACCGACAATTTTGTTAAAAGAAACTTTTTATGCGCCACTTTACATTTTCACGAAAATAGCCACCTCAAAGAGTTAGTTCTAGGAACCAAAACAATGGATATGGACAGATGTACCGCGGAAAATATTTCTAACAAATCAAATTACTTTTATCGCATTTTGAAATTAAAGATATGAGGAATGTGATATTTGTAAGTGATCGGGGTTCCAACATTATGTGCTAATCTAATTATGTTAACTGTGCTAATCATTTGTTTAACAATGTATTGGAAGCTGCATTCCAAAATACAGAAGAGAAAAAAATCAAATTTGCAGCATTTGTTAAACACATCATTAAACAACTATTGCTCTACACGTTGGAATTCTTACTACAATTTATTCAAGTCTCAAATCAATTTTAAAAAATTGGTTCAAAATAAATGAAATACTTTTCTCAATGTTAAACATTTTGGTTGAACTTTTTGATAAATTTGACATAATTAATAGGAAACTGCAAGGAGTAAATTATGTAACCATTAATTATGTATACCTTTCAATGAATAGTTTAAGTACAACGTTATAGTACACGTTATAGTACATCAAAAATTAGTGTAGATGTAAATTTTGATGTCCTGAAATAGAGCAATAACCATGCAACGGAATATCCCAATTTATTTAGAATTGCAATTAAAATTTTGTCTATTTCTGCGAGCAGTGCTGCGTCTGAACGAGTATTTTCTATGGCGGGAAATTTAATAACCGAGAAAAGAAATCGTTTGGGGTCTAATAATGTTAACAATTTACTATTTGTAAATTCATTATGTAAATACAAAATTGATTCAACATTATAAATTTAGTTTTTGAATATTTTTCTATTATTTTCTATTTTTTGGTTAGTTTTCATGAAGTTTTGATAAAATAGTTTATAATAGTTTGGTTACTTAATAAATCTATTTTTTATTCTTGTTCTATTGTGTAACAATTTTTAAAGTAAATAAACATTTTTTTCATTAAATATATATTTTTTTTTGTTTGGATAATCCTTGTTTTCCAATGTGATGGTGTATCGAAAATGACTTTACTAATTTCATCTCGAAAAAACCCTTAACAATTTTTGAATTAAAACATAAAAATCTTAAAATGTAAAAGATTATGAAAGATAATTAAACATGTTTTTACGTAGTTAGTTTTTACAAATTTTTGCGATTTTAAATAATTAGTTAAGTTTACATTACATAGTCAACATTAAATGATTTTGGACAAATTTTGTGATTTTAAATAATTTTACTCATTTTGAATATTTTTGATAATTTTTAAACAGTTTTTTACCACTTTTGTACTTTTTCAGCAACATTTTAAATTTCATTACATTATACGGAACTTCTCAAATGTCCATTCGCTGCTTTTGAATGAGCACAACACTACATGATTCACACTTCTGTTGACGAATGAATAAACTATAGCAACAGCGAATTGATTAATATGATTCGACATGACAGCCATTCGGTGCAGGTCTCGTAGTCGACAATACAGTAATTTAAGAAAGAACACCACACAACATGATTCACAGTAACTATTGACGAATGAAGGCAACACTCAAGCAACGAATCAGTGAATATGATTCACTATGTGAGCCATTCGTTGTAGGTCTCTGATACCCACACTTCCACCAAGCGTATCGAAATATATTCTTAAATCTCGGAGAGGAAAACTGGTTGTGTATTAACGACTGTATTTTGAGGATGTTGATCCGTAAATGTAAATTTACATCATAATTAGTAGTTTTGAGTATCAGTTTTAAAATTAATAGAATCATCCGTATAATTAATATGAACCATTTCTAAAAAGAGTCTATTGAAATAGTTAGGTTCATTATCTAGTATTTTAACATCATCAAAATCAAAACGATGACCCGTGTCTGTAGCATGTTGGGATAAAGCACAAGTAGACTTTCCTAAATTGCAATCACTTTTGTGTTTGGAGACCCTACGTTTTAGCCACTGATCCGTCTGACCAACGTATTTACCATTACATGCACCACCAGGAATGCAGTAAATAACACCAGACTTTAGTTGGTGTTCTGTCTTGTCCTTAACATTCGTGAAAAACTTTTGTAATTTGTTATCGTAACAGTCAACAATCTGCATATCCTCAAGGGAATTCAGTACCCGTTTTATTTATTTACTTAAATTAGTGACAAAAGGTACTTTTTTATATTTAACTAGTGTGTTTTGTTCATTGATCCTGCTGTTGTTAAGGTGATTGTGTATATTTGATGAAAACAAGTTTGTTAAGCAGATTGGACGGATAACCGTTGTTAATAAATGTGTTATTTACCTAACCATTTATTTATATTAATAATAAAAAAAAACGTTAGTTAATTTAACTAATGTTAATGTTCCTGCTGATGTGTCAACCTTACTGTCTTTAGGTCCTAAATTTCATCTACCTACAAATAGCTTTAACTTTAATTTAAAACGTTTGCTGATGTTCTTAGAAAATATTATTTACAATGAAAATCCGTCACATCGTAATTTAGTAAGGGCTAAATTAACGAATATTATTACTGATTATCAATGTTCCCGCGAAGCGTGTGATGGGTTGCATGGTAGACTAAATGAAATGTTAATCAACACAAAAAAAATTTATTAAATAAAACCCTTCAATTATAATAACCAAAGCTGATAAGGGGGCTACTACAGTTCTTATGGATAGAGATTCTTATCTAAGAGGTGACACAGAAATGTTGGAAGACACAAAAGTATATAAGATCCTCAACAAAAACCCTCTTAATAACATACAAAACTAAATTAACAACTTAATTAAACATCTGCAAGAACAGAAATTCATCAATGATGGTGACTTAAGAGGTTAACAAAACACAATTCTATTCTGGCTAAGGCTTACTTCTTACCTAAGATCCATATATGGATCTTAGGTATCGTCCTTATAAGGACGGAATTTGTTAGAGACCTTAAGGGTTACAAACTTCCGCAAGATCACATTTTGGTTTCACTTGATGTCGTGAGCCTTTTTACGGTTATTCCGTTGGATTTGGTCAATAAGATTGTCAACGATAAATGGAAGTTAATTGCGCAACATTGTAGCTGGAATGAGAACACATTTTTGTCGGGTTTAAAATTGATTTTTGATACCTTCATTTTCACTTATAATAACGTAGTATATCACCAAGTTGAAGGTACCCCGATGGACTTAAAAATTTCTCCGATCTTAGCCGTACTGGTAAATTAAATAACACAACTTTTAGAATTGATTTCATTATGAAAAATGTTGATGACTTAATTTTGGGTGTGCACAGGGATGATATCGACATAATTTTAGAATCATTTAACAACTTTTATCCGAGCATTCAATTTACTATAGAGGTCGAGAAAGACAATAACAGAGGTAGGGAACGTGCGGCCTCCGTGACTTTCTTGTGCGGCCTCCATAAAATTTCTTGGATCAATTAATATTTCGTTATACTATAAAGAATTAAATAAAGAACGGTAAATTTCAGTACTGGTGGTAATAGCCAATTGTATAATTCAAGTATTAGAACGTCACCTAGTGCGAAACGGCACCACTATTTTTACGTATTACAAGTAGCGACATCTCGTGCATTGGAGAGCAGGTTTGCTTGCAGGTCTGGTAAACTCTGCAACATACGGGGTAATCCCCATTATACAACGGAGTTGGCAATCTGCGCATGCCAGTACCAGTGTTGTTATCTACTATTGTTAAAACTTACTGTTTATTTTACTCTCTGTGTTTACATCTTGAATAAATCTGCATTTTTCGGTTATAATAAAGTCAGTAAGTTTACATAGTTTTTCGATTATAACAAGTTCGTTGATTATTTTGAATTAATTCTTGAGTAGTTTTTAGTGCAATTAATAAAGACGAAGAAAGAAACAAGGTACATCCTTTATCGCGGTGGTCCTTCGAATCCACGACACTCGACATCAAACAGTTTTTTTTCTACATCATGGCAAGTTGTAAGAAAAGAAAATTAAATAAAGAAAACAGAATGTTTAATGTGGACTGGGACTGGGTGTGTTTGTTGTGCAATACAGTTTTAACTACTTTGAAAAAGGTGAATGCAAATAAACATTATTTGACTCATAAAGAGCATAAATATTTTAACTTAGAAGGTGAATCTCGACGAGCTATACTTCAAAAATTAAAAAATGAAAAACATTATCAACAAGCGTCAGTTAGTGCTTTTGTAAAGAAAAGTACCACTGCAGTTGATGTTACTTATAAAATTGCTCTTATACTTGGAAAAAGGGGCAAACCGTTTGCCGACGTAGAAATAATTAAAGAATGTATTGTTGAAGCAGTAGGTATGTTAGATCCAGAAAATGTTGCTAAATATAAACAATTGCCTCTTTCTCTTAAAGTTTCAACTATTTTAGCGATGAAGCACAGAGTGACACAGATATGTGATGCTATATTTCTTAAAGAAACCCTAACTTTCTTAAGAGACACATTTATTAACAACGGTTATCCGTCCAATCTGCTTAACAAACTTTTGTTTTCATCAAATATACATAATCACCTTAACAACAGCAGGATGAATGAACAAAACACACTAGTTAAATATAAAAAAGTCCCTTCTGTCACTAATTTAAGTAAAAAAAATAAAACGTTGATTGTTGACTGTTACGATAACAAATTACAAAAGTTTTTCACGAATGTTAAGGAACATCAACTAAAGTCTGGTGTTATTTACTGCATTCCTTGTGGTGCATGTAATGGCAAATACGTTGGTCAGACGGATCAGTAGCTAAAACATAGGGTCTCCAAACATAAAAGTGATTGCAATTTAAGAAAGTCTACTAGTGTGTACAGGGTGTCCCAATTTCGATGTCCACATAGGCTATCTCCGAAACTAAAAGAGATAGAAAAAAAGTAGCTTACATGTCATGATCTCGTT